GAATGTGGACAGGCATATATTCTCAGCTGGCGCAGTTGATAGTGAGTTGCTTTTTCAGTTACAGTGTCATGGGCTCAATCCCTTCAGAGATTTTGACCGTTCTACACTCAATTAGTCAGCCTCTTTTCACAGCCCACAACCCACACAACACAATATCAATGAGAGAAACATTTCAGAAATTCAAAATATATTTGTTCAACAATATGGTTAGCTTGCTAACTGAATCATGTTGCTAATAGACAGTCCACCACGTGCTCCAAACGTCCACCCTCCCAGTCAGTAAGCATAGATATTTTGCTGTTTGGATCTACACTGTGTGCTTGCAGTTAGTTAATTTTTACAGATACAAAAGTGTGGCACCTTGACTATTGTGCATTTCGAACAACATCACATCTACGTAATACAATCATTGGTGAAATGGGAGGACTCAGACATCTTATGATGATACACATTCTTCTGTGAATAACAAACGGAGAACAGGTTCCACAAAGAAATCCGGGAATAGAGTCATGAATACGTGGCGGCAACACTACATGGTACCAAACTGCTATGTTGCCAACAACTGATTTACTTTCCAAAACGAATTTATCTTTTTTCATAGCCATGTTGTTTGTGCTAGCAATGCACCTCAGTGAGGATATACTTTGAACTAATAGTAACTAATAGTTTTTCAAAGCTCAAAATAAATATACCTTTCTTCCTATAGCACCATTGGCTTTCCGTGGGGGTGGTGGCTCAAAGATCCTCTGCTGCTGCTGTGGTGGCAACGTGGAATACAGTGGAATGATTTTGATGTCTCCAACTTCAGGCCCAAGGTCATCGACCTCACGCTTGATCCGTTTGCACGCTTCATCAATTTCCTGCAGAGGAAAACATTTATTTTTAAGGCAACTAAATCAAATTCTCTCTTGCGACTTTGCTGATACTTTCCGACGAATGCAAACAAATTGACAGACAAAACATGTCCGATTATCGGATGTTTTGTGCTTTTGATCATGTGTGAGGTCTTGTGGTTTCAAATGGTTTCAAACATCAAAAATCAGATTGCGTTTATGTACCACCTCAAAGTATCAACTCCAAAACGGGTCTGCTTTGTCTGTGGGTTCAATACTAACTGATGGAAATTTGATAATTATAGACACAAATACATTAAAAAAAGGAACTTAACTGCAACACAGGAAAAAGGTGACATCAGCACTTTCCTGTTTGCTCTCCTTAGGTCTCATCTTCAACAAATGACTAATTTTAATTGCATCGAATGCCGGCGAATTTCTCTCTCTACTTAGAATGTTTTAACATTCCCCAAGACATTGACTGTACGGTTGGAAAAAGTTTTTTTTTTTAAATGATGTTGCCGGTTTGAACCTGGAACTAAACATCGGGTTACAATATTTCTGATGAGAAATGCTGGCAGTCAACTTGTGCCAACCTCCAATAGGTTCCACTCAATTCCTGAATTAAATCTCAAGCATGCTCTCACCTCCTGTCCGGTGAGGAAGAGAAGACAATCCCCCTCGTCTTCCTCACACATGTGAATCTGGATGACTGTGCGAATGGCGGCTTCGAGGTAGTCTCGCTCCGGCTCGGGTGTGTAGAAGATCTCGACAGGGTGCGTGCGGCCGGGAATCGTCAGCAGGGGGCAACTGTCAAAGTACACTTGGAACTTCCCTGCATCCAATGTGGCGCTCATAACGATCACCTGAGCAAAAAGAGAACCTTGTTGAGCATTTGTTTTTACAAAATGTCTCCCTGAAAATTTCTTGAATGTGAGGCAGAAGGGGGACAACACCCCCGCCCAAAAAAAAAAAACAGGATAACACAGAAACCACTAACAATAACCAGTTATAAATGCGTGCCAATCTGGATACTGGTAGTAATCCTCATGCGTCATGTTTTTAACTTTTGTTAGAACGAAAGAAAACCTTAAAGATAAAATTCAGGCACGTGCAAAAGGACAAGAAAAATGAGTTGGGATATTTGGAATTTATTTGAAGCTCTTCAATTGGCTAGACTAATAAAGGTTTTCTTATCTTATCTTATAATACCGGGCGATTTTGACGAGACCCGCTTTTGCACCCTTCTAAACAAGCCTGGTACTGCACTGGTATTGTAGTAGTACTTGCTGCAGCCGTTTGTGCAGAAGGGAAAGGTTTGGTTTCCTGACCAGAATCCTAAAACACAGCCTCTTCTCTATCCGGGCTTAGGGCCAGCAGTCCCTAAGCCCGGATAGAGAAAAATAAAAACGGAAGTGTATCCAACAATCATGCAAGTGAATCACTGTGGCCACCTGATGGGACAATCTGCAAGTTACATCACCAACAATAATCCTTGCATCTTCCAGCAAAATCTAGAGCAGCGGAAGCTATCGTAATATAAATGTGACAGCACGGCGTTTTCTCTTGTTCTTGTGTCTAACTTTTGGTATTTCACAGGTGAAATGCCTGTTGTGTGCAAGGGAGCTTGTATACAACAATAACACCTCATTTATGCTGAGGCATTACAGAGTTCTGTACGAGAAAAGAGACTGAAAAAATGCATTGCGTCACTGTTTTTTTAAAATTAAAATGAAATTTATGCCAATGCTTTTTGTGCATGTCTTATTTTTTGTTTATTTGACTTTGAGCCAATGTTCGTTCAATGTTGTCAACTAATATCTGGATTAATTTTAGGCAATTTTTCCTCAATTTTCTCGAGGAACTTCCATGAAAATTTGAAAATCCGGAGGACTTTCATCACTGCAAATGTGTGAGGACATACAAACCTTGAGATCTGCTCGCTGACGCACCACCTCTTTCAGCACTCCCATCAGAATATCGGTAGCTAATGTTCGTTCGTGGGCCTCATCCAGTATAATCACTCCATATCGCTCCAGAAGAGGGTCATTCATCGCCTCCCTTAGCAACATACCATCTGTCATGTACCTAAAGGAAGAGGAGTAGGAAACAAACTGGTGAAAATGTCGGTTGTCTATAATAAAAGAGTAGAACCAGCGCCTTACTTCAGTATTGTTTTGGCAGAACTACAGTCTTCAAATCGGATGGAGTAGCCAACTTCCTGTCCAAGCATCACATCCATTTCGTCTGCCACTCTTTGGGCCACGCTCATGGCTGCCACTCTCCTTGGCTGAGTACAGGCAACTGCCCTCTTTGGACCAGGAATGCTCCTCACCATGTCCACACACCACTGAGGGATCTACAGGTAAAAGCAAAACCCTCATGAATAATTTAAAAAAAAAAAAAAAAAAAAATTTAAATCCCAGTTGAATTGCATTTTTGTGTATGGGTTTTCTCACTTGTGTCGTCTTGCCAGAGCCAGTCTCTCCTACAAGGACAAAGCTCTGATGGCGTGTGATGATATCAGTGAAGTTTTCCTTATATTCCCACACTGGAAGCTGTAACCTTTTCTTCAAGATCTCATAATAGCGAGGCGTGTGCGGCAGGTTGGTGAAGGGATTGATCTGCTGCTGCATGGCCATCTGCTTCAGCTGAGGCATGGCGATGATGGCTGGCGTGCTTTTTGGTGGCACGCTTGAAGACTTCATGTCTCTCTCGCGGTCTCTGTCTCTGTCACGGTCACGATCCCGGTCTCTGTCCCTGTCCCTGGAATGATCCCCCCGGTCTCGATCCAAGTCTCTGTCACGCCTGTCAGTGTCAATAAAAATGTTGAATAATTAATATGCTCTGCTGACGTTCCAATATACTGATCCATTCGTCTATTTGATCTATTACAGTCTGTCAAGCCAGATTTTTTCCTATCTAGTTCAATGCACGTCCCCAGTAACATGCACTGCTTGAACTAAACACAAAAATCATATATTAAAATTTGAGCCCTACATTGAAGCATCATTCAAAACATCTCTGGGTTCATCCCTCTTTTAATAAGAATTTAACAGGCAAGCTGGCCTCTTTCCAATGACAGTTGATTTAACATTAACTGTGATTATGTTTTGAATACAATGCCGGACAAAATACTATCTTCAATGCATGTTAGGGAGCGCGATTGGTACAATTTAAACATAGGTAAACCGTGCGATTGACTAATTAGAAAATAAAAGACAAAATTTTAAAAGATGCCCTCGTTTGTCGCTTGGGCTAGCGTGCAAGCTAGTTAGCTTAGCCAGCAGGCTGCTAGCATCCCGCTAACTTCATACACGTGCCGCAAACTAATAATGACGCTAGCGAATGCAGAATGCCTCAAAGGCGTTCATTGAATTGCATCGGGAGCATTCACCTCATCGGCACGTGGCCGTGGCCCCAACAAGAACACAAATTGCTAAGGTTAGCTATATTGTCTCCATTCCCATTAAACCACAACGTAGGCTTTTATCCAACTAGCAACAGTCCACCAGCGCCTAAAATGTTTCAACGGACACATTCAGTTGGCGCCGCACCTACCCTTCAGACCTCTTCTTACTAGAGTAGTCATCACCCAAATCCAAGCGATGTCTTTTGGACATCTTTCGTAGATAACCGAGCGTATCTTTTAATAATCAATAACGGCGGCCACTACTTAACCCGGTTTAATGCAACGGCGTTTCCTGATTAGGTTCTTCCTCGTTGGTGTCCTATTCCTCAAGCATCGTAGTCTCAAAACGCATTACCGACACCTGCTCTCCGGGAGGAATAATGTCTCTATTTCGCCACATCACACACCCGAAATGCAAAATTTCCTGACATAATACGAACATTAAATTTCTCCTGTTTGATAAAAGCCGAGAGAACTCTCGTTGTGTAATGATTTGTTAGTTCTGAGCTGCTCTTGGTGCCCTTTTTAATCCACAAAGAACGTACTTACCAAAACATTTCGTCTCCTCCATTATGTACGTATGAGAATTACTTTAAATGCATACATTTACATATGGGTAAAATCAACATTAACATTGACCTCCTTTACCCGAAGCACAGAGGCTCAGCACCCATACGACATTATGACATTAACCAGTTAAATAGAAATAACCCAATGCGTACTTATTTGCGCTCCACCCTCACCAAAGAGACGCCCACTGACTCGCTTATTATACAACTTAGACAAATAAATGAAAATCATATTTTTCTTCATCACACGGTCTCTGCAACAAAAACTCCCGAGTGAAAGGGCATAATTTGGATCAGATCGATGTTAGTAACAATGCATCAGTACTGGTGAGTGTATTTCATTATCATAACAGGCTAACTCAAAACAACTGAGGGACTTAAATGTTTTGTGTATGATGCCGAGACGCTGCACTAACCAACTCCGTTAGTACTGTATGATATATTGTATTTTGTCGTGTTGATTTGTGTAATTTATTTAGTTTGTTGGCTAATTGAACTCTCCATTGGACACATTCCCGTTTTCAGATCATCCGATTATCCAACTGTTACGTGAGTTACAGCACAATTCTAGCAAATCCACGAAAACATCACTTGGTAACAGTATAGCTCTGCAAAAACTACATATCTGTCACATTGAGTGTAGTTTAACTTTATTTTACGTTATTTACCAGTCGATAGCATATTCTCGTGTATAACAGTTAAGACTGTAAAAAAATGACATAAACATTGCCCAAAACAGTTTTATGATAACGATCATTTAAATATTATAGGACACGTGGTCAAGAAAATGGACAGAAAGGACTTGGAATTAAACCAGCACCACAGAACAGATTATGTTCAGCTAGGCAATAGTTCAACTTCAACAATTTTAGTCCTCGGTTCCCTAACAGTTACTGAGTCTTGTTCAAAGGAAATGTGATGTAAGACATTGGTCAACATGCCTCCATCCCAGTTTTTGGGGGGGAAGGGTGAAAGCACCAAATGTGAAATTAGTGAATATTTGGGGTGGGGGAAAAAAAATCAGTTAGAACATGAATACACTTTGTAGTGTATTCGATTGAATATACGTTAAAAAGGATTTTCCAATCAGTTTTTTTTCATTCACTTTGTATACGATGTACCAATTAAAGTGATATTTGGGTTTGTACTATCATGCATGTTTTCATATCTTCCAGGCCAAAGTGTGTAGTGGGGGCATCACTTCTGTTTGTGCTGCCCATCTGTCAGTGCGCCTCAGCCAACACCGACACCTTGGCTCCAGCAGAGGTCTGGCAAAACAATGGCACTCTGTATGCAGCCTGTAAAGTGAGACCAAGTTCCTCGCTGGCTGACGGTTTGCCCAAAGTCTACGGCCAAGTGCTCTTTAAACAGGATTATCCTCATGGAAAGCTCAAAATTCTTCTCCGGTTCCATGGATTACCCGTGGGGAGTGAGCCAGAGCCAAGAGCGGTGCACATTCATCAGTATGGAGATCTGCAACAGGGATGCGATTCCACCGGAGGTCACTATAACCCTCAAGGTGTCAATCACCCCAACCACCCCGGAGATTTGGGACACTTTGTGCCCCAACAAGGCAAAATCAATGCCGCATTAGAGTCTGACGCCACATTATTTGGCAGTCTGTCTGTGCTTGGAAGAGCAGTGGTGATTCATGAGCGGCGGGATGACTTTGGCCTTGGGGGAGACGCTGGCAGTCTGCTCCATGGAAATGCAGGACGCAGGCTCGCCTGCTGCATTGTTGGGATTACCTCTGCCAATCTCTGGAATACATACTCCAGGTCAATCAATAGGCGCCTGCGTAGAATTTAACTCCACTCTTTGGCCTTCATGTATTATATTTTCAGCTACATGCGCTTAATCTGATAAATGAAGAAGTAGCTGACCATGTAAATCATACATTGTTGAATAGGTCAACATGCCTGTTGGACACAAATTTAATTTTCTTGCCACTGTGCTGAGAAAACATGTGAAAAGTGGTTTATTTTGAAGAAACACAGACACAATTTACAATACATTTTACATTTCAGTTCTTTCACCACAAACAAGGACCAGTGCTTGAAATTGAAATACAGAGTAGTGGCCTCTCCATCCAAAAAGATTTGGACCCCCTGTCTCAGAACTCTGAGGCAAATGTGCTAACCACTCATCCACAGTGCCAGCCGGGTCTACCTAACACAGACATATTCTTTAAAAGTATACTCACATTTTGTTTAGTGTTCACCAATGAATGCTTGTAACTGACAAAATCTACAATACAAAGTGCAGACATTCCCTCCAAGTGGCGTCAAATGACAATATTGTGAATAAAATACACAGCTGCTGCAACTATTTTAGTCGCTTTAATCGTGATTTGTGTCCGCCAAGGATACTTTTCCAATTATTACTGATTAATTTGTTAAATTCATTGAAAATAAATTTCCCCAAATCCATCTTTCACAATGAGAAAAATGAAAAAAAAAATCAGATTTTCATTTCATGTGATCCAGATTGATTTTATGGCAAACTCTAAGTTGTGATCTTATTTGCCTTGTTCAGATGTTATGTAATTGTTCGCTTGGCGGAGCGTTTTCTGAGTACTATTTTTTTTTTTTAATTAACTTTTACAAGGAGTTCATGTATTCAAAATGTTTCTTCATATGTCCATTGTTATTTGCCACATTTTGGTGCTGGATCCCACAGATATATTCAAAACAATTCACTTCAACAATTAAATTCTGTGTTTTTATGAAAATCCTCTATTAGCTTGCTTTGTCGTCTGTTGCTTTCAGTTATCATGGAGAAATAGCTTTGTCCGACTCAAATGATCAAAGACAAGAGCAACAATCTACGTGACTCTTTGCTTTTTAAGCACAATCATTGGATATTATTATGTGCTTCCTAAAACAAAAATAAAGGTTCACTAAATAGCAGCCTTTGGAAAGTATTCTGGAATGTACAGTGCTAGTGTGGAAGCACAACTGTCTTTGCAACTTGAGAGTATCAAACAGAACATGCCATATCGTCCGTCCCGATGAAAAAACCCTGATCTTGCCGAATTTCCTGCTCGTTTTCAAAGGGAACTGTTGCGACGGCATGGGATGGAATATGAACACGTTCCTCGATTACGATACATTCCGTTTCGACGTTCTCCACTCCCTCTTCATCTTTAGTTTCTATTCTTGTGTGGCCCGATGTCACAGATGGTCGCTCGGAGGTGTTTGACAGAAGGGGTGTGTTCACATCTATCGAGGAGGGAAAGACATCACCTGCATTGTCGACATCCTTAGATTGGTCACCTTCACAGAGATGATCACTCTTTGGCAAGGTTCTTGACTGAGGACTAGATGGATCCTCCTCGAGTGACGGGAAAGACGACTGGGACGATTTGGCAAGTTCTGCTGGGCTTTCAGAACTCTCTTGTACTGGATGTCTTGATGAACACTGCTGCGACTCTCCTATGAGAACATAGATACATACAATGGATCACAGACTAACACGTGAAAAGGAAGAGACATCTTTATGCTTGCAATTGCTAACCTGGGCTGGCTGGTGGAGGAGAGTGGCAGTCATCTTTTCCCTCTGTTGTAAGGAAAAACCACACGCAAAAAAAAAAACCAAACTGTTATTTCACCTTTTATAGTTTCACAGTTAAAAAAAAAAAAAACATACTTGCACACATTCCCACAGAGATATGGTAAGTGAGGCCTTTGGGAACAAAATGCAAAGGAACAAATTAGTAGCATGTTGATTAAAGTTGAGTTTCACCCATTATTATTTTTCAACCACATTAAGTGTGAGGAGAAGACAGCTTTAGACTTTGCAATCAAGACTTACGTAGAGATAAAAAGGCCTTATAAATCAATGCTGTTATGATGCGATGGACACATTTCCCTCAGTGATAATCACTGATTTTGCATCGACTGTACCTGGCAGGCTCCACAATCCAGATGTCTCCAATGTTTTGAGCTTCTTCTCCAGTTCTGCAACACGAGTTCCAAGAACCCTGGCGACAAGGGGTCCATTAATAGACATGTTCGTGAAGCTGAGAAAGACTGACACTATAGGCGAGAGAAAGATAACAGTCAGTACTTGTTAATTTGTCGCTGGTGCTGAATCAACATGTTCTTCTCATGGATGGTTTCCAGGAGCGCGGTGGCCAGAGACTTGAGGTCCGAGATCGACTGGGCGGTGACGGGCAGCGTGCACCCACTCTCGTCAGACAACAGCTCCTTCACTGCATGCATGCATGCATATATACACACACACACACACACATATAAACACACAAAGCTTTACCTCACACGACCACGTTAAAGACAGGTTTCCCCCAGAAAATTCAAGCCATGGTGAATGACATCACACCTTGTTTGGCTGAGAGCACACCGGTGAGTGCCCTGCTGTTTGGCTTCCCGCAAACTCTGGCATTCTTCCTGGATTCCAGTGCACTCTGAAATGATTTTTAATATACTATTAAAAACTGTTTCAATTATTACTTTGAACAAGTTTTCTTTTATTTAAACTCTTGGTCTCCCCCACAGTCGTGAAGTGTAACCGACATTTTAGTCAGTGAGTTTATTAAAAAAATGATCCAGGTATAATTATAAATATGTTGTCGTTAAAGATATAGTAGTCAAGGCTTCCTGGCGGGTACACCAAAATGACACATTAGGCAATATAACGTATCCACTGAAGTAACAAATATAATTTCCCCTTGTTACTGTCCCATTACTCAAAATAACAAAGTTCTGACTTTGAGCTTCAACTTTTTTCCACAGCTGGAATTCCTGCCGCTTAAACAAAGATGTAATTTATGTGGAGTTTTTCCCAATCCCAAGACCTTTGCATTCTCTTCTATTCTTCAATTCTTGCTAGCTCGTAATCATGATTTTATTCATGAATTTTTAAACATCGTTCTTCGCATATGCTCTCCTCAAGCGCGGACCCTCATCATGCAGAAAAAGCAGCATTAACTTTGTTTTCTATTGTATTTGCACCCACGTGCGTCTTAAGTTTTTTTTAATGATTATTTTATTATTATTACAGCTAACATCATGAAAATAAATACATGTACCTTGTACTTGCCCAGATTTGTCTTAAGCAAGGTGACCTCTCCCTGAAGTTGACACAGCCGATCATGCAAATACCTGAAATAATCTGAATTTAAGTCATCTATAATGTGAAGAAACCTTCAACATAGACAACTAACATTAACAAACCTGTTCTCCATGCAGAGTGCATCAATATCCAAAATCCGAACGTCATCATTCCCCACGATGTGGTTCATCTCCACGTTGAGGCGATGAGCCTTCTGCTGAAACACGTCGCGCTCCGCTCGTACATCCTGAAGCTCGTCGGTGAGGGACTTTGTGCTGTGCTCCAATACTTCATTCTACAGCCACCCCAACACACACGCAAAGCTCCATGTAGTCAGAGGTCATCTGGGTTGATAGAATATAAGTGGTCAGTCGTGTTCACCTGCTCTCTGGCTCTTTCCAACTGCTTGACCAGGTCCTCACGCTCATGCGCTGGGAAATGGCGAGCGCCTACCTCGTCATCTCCTAATCTTTGTTTGGTGATAGTCATACGTAGGAGCTGTGAGACAAAGCCGTCTGAGTATGATCACTTCTTGGAGACTTCATTTGGCAACATGTTCTTGAGTGTACATGTTGTATGCCATGAGGTATGAAGTTAGGAGAGTCAAACTAAAATCACTCATGGGGCCGAAATGTACAAGTCTAAGTTGTGAATCCAACAGGATTGACATTTATTGAATACAATGGTAGTGACAACTGAAATTTTTTAACAAAATGGAACAACCCTTTCTACAGTACACTACATCTTTATTTATATAGCGCTTTCACAACAGCTGAAGCTGTAACACAGCACTGTACGGAACAGTTCAAATAACATAAAAGACGGCTTGGATTTTCATTTGTGACCATAACTTAATCCGCTGCAGTTTTACATGGCTATTTTGCGGATTTATTTTAATTGATTTTTTTTTGCTGTTTTTCTTCTTTACAATCAGACCAGTCAGGATTTTTTTTGGGGGGGAGTAAATTTGATTTGCTCTAAAACCACTCACAGTGTGTGTGTGTTTGGAGAGGCAGAGCACACTCACCCTTTCATTAATTTCCAAATGCAGACTTTGTTTTAAACCAATCAGCAGTTCATTCTTGAACTGTTTCCATCTGGACTGCCTGACACACTGTTGAACCACGTCCCCAGTTGGAGTGCCTAGCGTGCTGGCAATCGGTTTCTGGTGCACTCTGAATAACCCAACGGCACATTTCAACGACTCTCTGAAGTTTCCAAATGGTTGGAGTGAAGCAGTGCAATCTCTAGGAATATTCACAAATGCACACTAGAGCTCGTCACCACCAGAAACCGCGTTCCCTCATTGTGGGTGGGTTCAGAAATACGCTCCAAGTGCGCTGCTTCACACAGACCGTTCGAAAACTCGTTAAAGTGTGCCATTCGGTTATCCAGGGTGCCCTAAAAAAGCTGGATCGTAAACTGCTGCGTTATGAAACTGTCGGACGATGACGACGAAATGGTAGCAGATGAAATTAGTTTGTCTTGAAATAGCATACCTTTATGGTCAAAAAAATTACTCGCTATCCAAATGTCACACCCATGGAATTTGGCCATTGCATTTAACTCATCCAGTGAACAGACTCTATGCTGTGGAGTCAATATTAATAAAAGTCTGTACTACAGACGTTTATGTTACGACAAAAGTATGCATGTTAAACTCTGCTGGGCCATATAAAATGACAAGGTGAGACAGATTCACTCGCAGGCCTTGACTTTGACATCCAGTACGTGCATCGAGTGATGTCACGCACCTTGTTGTCTCCCTGAGCTTCGGCCAATCGCTGCTTCAGCTCTTTCATCTCCTCAGAGAGACGGTTGCTTTTTTCTCTTGAGTCCCTCAGTAGCTGAGCTAAATTCACCTGTGAAAGATGCCATAAGGTAAAGTCATGATTGAGACCTTTTGATACAATTAATAACACCGGAGCAGTCAGTTGAGGTCAGGCAAAGGCAGGTTTTCTGTACTTTCATTTTCTACAGTGCTCATTGGGTTCAGGACTAATACATCATCTATATGATTGACTACTAAGGGATATTAGGGCAGCCTTTAAATCACAATTTGATTTTGAATGGGGCATAAATGTGATAATGATCCCATGCAAGTTGCCGGCTTGGTAACTGATGACCACAATACTACCTAAACTTAACTACACACAGCAAACTGTTTGTTCCTAACCCCACCTCCCTTTCTTAGCCCATACAAAACCCCTCCATACAGTTTTGTGGTCACGGGACGAGTCAGATTGAGTTACACCAGTTTTAAGAAAAAAAAAAAACTGTTGTTGTGAGGAAAAAAGGATCAGAGATTAGTTTGTCAATTGGTGCTGCTCCAAGTCAAACATGCTGAGAGGAACACTTCTCATGCTACAAAGGGCAAGTGACATTCAAATAAACAAAAATATTTACCAAACATTTTTGCTGCGGTTGAGACAAATACAGTGGTAATAGTTATTGGTCAAATCAATTTCAGACGGCACGAGATTTTGTCAAATATGTGTAATTTTCTCACTGAAATTCAATTCAAACATTTAGCTCAAAAAGTTGACCATATGGTGGTGCTAGAGGAAATATGCCTATGTCAGTCGACCCCATCCACAGGAGAACATAATTATGCTGAAAGTCAGTCCGACTTGATGAGGACCACCTTTTCTTGAAAGGAAAACCAAAACTTAAAATGGACTTGAAGTCATTATTGGAGAGCAAATGAAATCCTAAGCAATCAAACTTAGAGTTGGCTTGTGTAAAGATGTTATAATTGGCTTTGAAAACTTACTTGGTTCCGTTTTTCGGGAGGCAGAGACGGATCACCATCCTGTTTTTAGGAAATTAAAAGAATGCAATGGATCAGAGCATACTCAAATTTTTTTTGTGTGTGTATGTGATGTTGACGATGTTTGCAATCATCTTACAATGAGCTCCCTGTATTTCTTTTTTAGTCCTTGGTGCCGCTCGCGAAGCTGGTTGGCCATCAGCTTGTACTGATCCCTCTCCTGTTGGCATGTATCCAGCTCCTTGGACAGAATAAGTAGAGCCTCCTTCTTGCTCTCCAACTTCCTCTTACAAATTAGGAACTGTGAACATGTGGATATTCATGTCATTACAAAGGATATTTTCAGATGCAAAGAAAATTGTTGTTGACAGAGGAGGAAAATGTACTATAATGATCGGATAACATCTTGAAATTTAAATTCAAGATGTTTCATGCTTAGTGTTTTTAACTTAATCAGTCTTATCCATCCATCCATCCATCCATTTTTGTATAGTGCTTGTCTTCACTGAGGTCGTTGGTGACCTGGAGCCACCCAGCTAACTTTGAGCCAGTGGCAGGGTCAAATCCTGAATTTGTCGCATTATATGGTCTCCACATTGTCAGGCCGTAGCCAAGACTCAAAACCCAAACCTCCGAACTGTGTGGAGAGACATAACTACAAGTCCACCACATACTGATGAATGAAATCACTGCAACAAACATTTGTCTCTGTAACAATAGAATTGTTAGAGTTGTTGCTGGAGGGACAGCTTTGGGTGTTACGAGACTGAGTTCCATACATGTGCTTCCAGTGTTGTGCCTATTAAAGACAAGTAAGCAAGAAGCTTTAACCGTCCACTGTGTTTGTTTAGACAGAACAGAACAGAGCGAAACAGTCTCTATTTTTTTTTTGCTGTCTAAAACATAGGTCTTGGGTGACCTGGAGCCTTTAGGGATGGCTATGAATATGAACACGTTTGTTTATATGTGACCTGCGATTGTCTGTTGACCAGGTCCAGGGTATATCCCCAAGGTCAGCTGGGATAGGCTCCAGCTCACCAGTGACTCCGGTGTTATCCTTATCAGCTGAAGGTAAAGGGTGGATGGCTAATGTTCAAATTAATGTTTTCTTTGAAAAACAAGCTACTGCCTTTCTTGTTTCAATATGGGAACCATATGTACGGATTTCTACAGTCTTGAGTTTCCTCTGTGCACCATTTGCTGCAAGATAGAAAAACACTTCTGGTCCCATATTTCTTGAAAATCAAGCTCTTGATATTAAAAAATCACTTTGGAAAACAGAATTATAGTTTTGCGCTGTACAAGTGAAGTTAAAATCACTTCCTTGAGCACGTCCCCTGCAGGGCAAACAAGGAGAGCAAATACCTGAAATAATCTGAATTTAAGTCATCTATAATGTGAAGAAACCTTCAACATAGACAACTAACATTAACAAACCTGTTCTCCATGCAGAGTGCATCAATATCCAAAATCCGAACGTCATCATTCCCCACGATGTGGTTCATCTCCACGTTGAGGCGATGAGCCTTCTGCTGAAACACGTCGCGCTCCGCTCGTACATCCTGAAGCTCGTCGGTGAGAGACTTTGTGCTGTGCTCCAATACTTCATTCTACAGCCACCCCAACACACACACAAAGCTCCATGTAGTCAGAGGTCATCTGGGTTGATAGAATATAAGTGGTCAGTCGTGTTCACCTGCTCTCTGGCTCTTTCCAACTGCTTGACCAGGTCCTCACGCTCATGCGCTGGGAAATGGCGAGCGCCTACCTCGTCATCTCCTAATCTTTGTTTGGTGATAGTCATACGTAGGAGCTGTGAGACAAAGCCGTCTGAGTATGATCACTTCTTGGAGACTTCATTTGGCAACATGTTCTTGAGTGTACATGTTGTATGCCATGAGGTATGAAGTTAGGAGAGTCAAACTAAAATCACTCATGGGGCCGGAATGTACAAGTCTAAGTTGTGAATCCAACAGGATTGATATTTATTGAATACAATGGTAGTGACAACTGAAAATTTTGAACAAAATGGAACAACCCTTTCTTCAGTAAACTACAATACATCTTTATTTTTATAGCGCTTTCACAACAGCTGAAGATGTAACACAGCACTGTACGGAACAGTTCAAATAACATAAAAGACGGCTTGGATTTTCATTTGTGACCATAACTTAATCCTCTGCAGTTTTACATGGCTATTTTGCATTTCCAAATGCAGACTTTGTTTTAAACCAATCAGCAGTTCATTCTTGAACTGTTTCCATCTGGACTGCCTGACACACTGTTGAACCACGTCCCCAGTTGGAGTGCCTAGCGTGCTGGCAATCGGTTTCTGGTGCACTCTGAATAACCCAACGGCACATTTCAACGACTCTCTGAAGTTTCCAAATGGTTGGAGTGAAGCAGTGCAATCTCTAGGAATATTCACAAATGCACACTAGAGCTCGTCACCACCAGAAACCGCGTTTCCTCATTGAGGGTGGGTTCAGAAATACGCTCCAAGTGCGCTGCTTCACACAGACCGTTCGAAAACTCGTTAAAGTGTGCCATTCGGTTATCCAGGGTGCCCTAAAAAAGCTGGATCGTAAACTGCTGCGTTATGAAACTGTCGGACGATGACGACGAAATGGTAGCAGATGAAATTAGTTTGTCTTGAAATAGCATACCTTTATGGTCAAAAAAATTACTCGCTATCCAAATGTCACACCCATGGAATTTGGCCATTGCATTTAACTCATCCAGTGAACAGACTCTATGCTGTGGAGTCAATATTAATAAAAGTCTGTACTACAGACGTTTATGTTACGACAAAAGTATGCATGTTAAACTCTGCTGGGCCATATAAAATGACAAGGTGAGACAGATTCACTCGCAGGCCTTGACTTTGACATCCAGTACGTGCATCGAGTGATGTCACGCACCTTGTTGTCTCCCTGAGCTTCGGCCAATCGCTGCTTCAGCTCTTTCATCTCCTCAGAGAGACGGTTGCTTTTTTCTCTTGAGTCCCTCAGTAGCTGAGCTAAATTCACCTGTGAAAGATGCCATAAGGTAAAGTCATGATTGAGACCTTTTGATACAATTAATAACACCGGAGCAGTCAGTTGAGGTCAGGCAAAGGCAGGTTTTCTGTACTTTCATTTTCTACAGTGCTCATTGGGTTCAGGACTAATACATCATCTATATGATTGACTACTAAGGGATATTAGGGCAGCCTTTAAATCACAATTTGATTTTCAGTGGGGCATAAATGTGATAATGATCCCATGCAAGTTGCCGGTTTGGTAACTGATGACCACAATACGACCTAAACTTAACTACACACAGCAAACTGTTTGTTCCTAACCCCACCTCCCTTTCTTAGCCCATACAAAACCCCTCCACACAGTTTTGTGGTCACGGGACGAGTCAGATTGAGTTACACCAGTTTTAAGAAAAAAAAAAAATCTGTTGTTGTGAGGAAAAAAGGATCAGAGATTAGTTTGTCAATTGGTGCTGCTCCAAGTCAAACATGCTGAGAGGAACACTTCTCATGCTACAAAGGGCAAGTGACATTCAAATAAACAAAAATATTTACCAAACATTTTTGCTGCGGTTGAGACAAATACAGTGGTAATAGTTATTGGTCAAATCAATTTCAGACGGCACGAGATTTTGTCAAATGTGTAATTGTTTCTCACTGAAATTCAATTCAAACATTTAGCTCAAAAAGTTGACCATATGGTGGTGCTAGGTGAAATATGCCTATGTCAGTCGACCCCATCCACAGGAGAACATAATTATGCTGAAAGTCAGTCCGACTTGATGAGGACCACCTTTTCTTGAAAGGAAAACCAAAACTTAAAATGGACTTGAAGTCATTATTGGAGAGCAAATGAAATCCTAAGCAATCAAACTTAGAGTTGGCTTGTGTAAAGATGTTATAATTGGCTTTGAAAACTTACTTGGTTCCGTTTTTCGGGAGGCAGAGACGGATCACCATCCTGTTTTTAGGAAATTAAAAGAATGCAATGGATCAGAGCATACTCAAATTTTTTTTGTGTGTGTATGTGATGTTGACGATGTTTGCAATCATCTTACAATGAGCTCCCTGTATTTCTTTTTTAGTCCTTGGTGCCGCTCGCGAAGCTGGTTGGCCATCAGCTTGTACTGATCCCTCTCCTGTTGGCATGTATCCAGCTCCTTGGACAGAATAAGTAGAGCCTCCTTCTTGCTCTCCAACTTCCTCTTACAAATTAGGAACTGTGAACATGTGGATATTCATGTCATTACAAAGGATATTTTCAGATGCAAAGAAAATTGTTGTTGACAGAGGAGGAAAATGTACTATAATGATCGGATAACATCTTGAAATTTAAATTCAAGATGTTTCATGCTTAGTGTTTTTAACTTAATCAGTCTTATCCATCCATCCATCCATCCATTTTTGTATAGTGCTTGTCTTCACTGAGGTCGTTGGTGACCTGGAGCCACCCAGCTAACTTTGAGCCAGTGGCAGGGTCAAATCCTGAATTTGTCGCATTATATGGTCTCCACATTGTCAGGCCGTAGCCAAGACTCAAAACCCAAACCTCCGAACTGTGTGGAGAGACATAACTACAAGTCCACCACATACTGATGAATGAAATCACTGCAACAAACATTTGTCTCTGTAACAATAGAATTGTTAGAGTTGTTGCTGGAGGGACAGCTTTGGGTGTTACGAGACTGAGTTCCATACATGTGCTTCCAGTGTTGTGCCTATTAAAGACAAGTAAGCAAGAAGCTTTAACCGTCCACTCTGTTTGTTTAGACAGAACAGAACAGAGCGAAACAGTCTCTATTTTTTTTTTGCTGTCTAAAACATAGGTCTTGGGTGACCTGGAGCCTTTAGGGATGGCTATGAATATGAACACGTTTGTTTATATGTGACCTGCGATTGTCTGTTGACCAGGTCCAGGGTATATCCCCAAGGTCAGCTGGGATAGGCTCCAGCTCACCAGTGACTCCGGTGTTATCCTTATCAGCTGAAGGTAAAGGGTGGATGGCTAATGTTCAAATTAATGTTTTCTTTGAAAAACAAGCTACTGCCTTTCTTGTTTCAATATGGGAACCATATGTACGGATTTCTACAGTCTTGAGTTTCCTCTGTGCACCATTTGCTGCAAGATAGAAAAACACTTCTGGTCCCATATTTCTTGAAAATCAAGCTCTTGATATTAAAAAATCACTTTGGAAAACAGAATTATAGTTTTGCGCTGTACAAGTGAAGTTAAAATCACTTCCTTGAGCACGTCCCCTGCAGGGCAAACAAGGAGAGCTCTGCTTCGAGCTGAGTTATTCAACCGGCATTAATTTTCAAATAGCACTTCTAACGAGTGTCAGAACGCTTGATTCTAGTTGTCAGGTCAATTAATCACACCCACTCCAACGACAGTGGAGTTTTGATTTTACCTCGTTGACCATTCCCTGCCAGTCCCCGTCGTTCCTCCTGGACGAATCCATCGCGCCGTGGCGTGCACGAAAAACCTCACTAATGTAAAATGCGAGTCGAATAAATATGTCCTTTATGTTCAAAATACTTCCAGCTGCGTTTTTATGTCAGCAACGGTCAAGGCAGATGAACTGTAATAACGGGTAAGAGTCATCGTCCAAGACGTTCTGTCGGCAATGGCACTGCATCGCATTTTTTGATGCCGTTCCGTACTACCGCAGATAAACCCTAAACAATTGCCACTTAAAAAGCTTTTTCGCTGGCTAGCGCTTGCACATGTCACGTGTGTCACTTTCAGCCAATCGTATGGGTTCTTTAGCGTCCCATGACGTCCTTTTAACGTCACGTGGTTTAAAAACATGGCCGATGTTGGTAATCAATGGTAAACTAATGAATCAACTACATTTGTTTCGCGTGAACTTGTATGTACTTCAAGATGACCACCACTTAAAAAATACGTACATTATTGTATGTCAATCTTGCAACAGAAATGCGTCATGCAACATTGCAATTGCGAATGCGTTAGTATCGTTGCAATGAAAGTGACGTAAATGTGAGTTTTTGCCATTGTCGAGTGAAGATGAGCAGTTCAAAATTTGGATTGACAGATGCTGTATGTTTTGTGCGTCCCTAAATATGCCATCTCTGGCGTTCTCGAAGATCTTTGCCCCTCCCAACCACCCGCCTTTCATAACGTCAGAAGTACGTCATGACTCATTTGCTGTCCCTCGGAAAATTCCCTACCTTTTCATTGCAAGTGAAGTGCATAAAATTTACGTAACCTCATATAACAATTTGTTACTGTTCCATGACTTATACTTTAAACATCTTTAATTACTGGTCACGTTCTTTTCAGATGCTGGCATGGTGTGTCAATTTGAAATGCAATTTTAAATGTATTGACAAAAATGGTTTTCAGTTTGCAATTTTGATATAATGGCGGCCCGGTAGTCGAGTGGTTGGCACGTCGACTTAACAGTGCAGAGGTACCGGCTCTGGCCTTCCTGTGTGGCGTTTGCATGTTCTCCCTGTGCTTGCGTGGGTTTTCTCAGGGTCCTCCGGTTTCCTCCCACATTCCCAAAACATGCATGGCAGGCTGATTGAACACTTGAAATTGTCCCCAAATGTGAGTGTGAGCGCGGATGGTTGTTCGTCTCTGTGTGCCCTGCGATTGGCTGGCAACCGGTTCAGGGTGGGATAGGCTCCAGCACCCCCCCGCGACCCTAGTGAGGATAAAGCGGTTCGGAAAATGAATGAATATTGATATAATACCACATTTAAAGAAAAACAACGATGTGAATGTGGTCATAGGTTCTTTAATACACGACAAAAGTATTTAATTTTCATGAAATAAATGTACACGATTAGCATTGCTAGTGCGTTCATTAGATACAGGTAATCATTTAGGATACACACCTTTATTAGTGAAGTGAAGAGGTTATGTAAATTAAACCAAATACAATACTGTACTGCAGTCTGTCATAAAAGAAAAAAAATATGAAAAAGGGACCACAAGAAGCATTTCAATAGCAGCATAGTGTTTTGCATAGGTCAATAATACTGTGCGTTGAACTTTCCATTGTTAACATGAAACTCACACATTCCATTTTTCCAAGGAAGAGTAAGAAAACTTGCATCAAGTCACCAGAGTTACCGGACGAGTACATACAGGTAAAGTATACAGATGCAATATAGCTGAATAATCTGTCAAAGTGCAAACATGTTTTTTTTTTTTTCAGTGTCTTCATTCTTGGCTAAGTTTTGCATCATAGAATTACAATAAAAGCTGACATCTATAGATATTACTGTACAATGAGCATAGTCATACAGAGCATGTCTCCAGAGCATTTTATTGTTATTGCATTGACATTCGTATACTGATGCAAGGTGCCAACAAGCTCATCAGAAGCAATTAGGGTAGAAGTTCATTTTGTTGCTTTGGAATTCCTCTGGAAATCTGCCATAGTCCAGGAATTCTTTCATATGATGGAAGAGTATTCTCACATACTATTGTATTTTGCCTCATAAACTTAAATCTACCACAATATGCTCAAAGACCATCGATTTGCCCTTAAAGCTGGAAGAGAAGATGAAATTCCTGCGGTCAGTGGTGACTGCAGTGAAGGATCGTGGTGACTGCATGTAGATGTCCTTGAACTTCTGGAAGGTTTTGGTCTCTGCATCCCACAGGTAGATTTGAGTGAAGGAGTAATCACTGCCTAGAGCAAGGTAATGTCTGTCCGTGAAGGAGAAAGGCTGGAGGACCATCGCCCCTCGAGACGGAAGAGCCTGCATCTCTGTGAACTGCTTACTGGTCCACTTGAGAATTTTGGAGTCACCGATGTAGCAAGTCATAGCCAGATACAAGTCATTTTCCACTCGGAAAGCTTTGACTGCCACCACGTCCTCCGCATTTGGGAATTCACTGTGAAGCATGAACTTTGAGCTGCTCTTGTTCCACAAGTAGATGACAGGCGGTTGAGAGCGGCTGGCTAAAATGAGGTAGGACTTCCCGTCCATTTCAACATACTCAGCGTCTGTATCGCGGAACCATTCATGTAGGAATTGATAGGTATAGAACCCAGTTTGGTTCCGGTCTGTTTGGTCGGTCCACTTGTAAAGAGTTGACAGACCTGCTTTGGAGCTATCTACTATTACCAAGTACCACTCGCCATCCATGCGGAAGACTTCAATGTCATTCGGTTTGGAGATGTTGAGGACCTCGATGGATTGAAATTTAGTGAACTTGTTCTGCTCAGCATCAAACTTGTAAACATGGGAGCCCCCAAAGAGCTGCGTGACAATGATCAAGACATGCTCGTCGACCAGAACTGACTTGCACCCAACGACAGATTTCCCTGTGGAGAGAAATGGTCTGTCAGGAGCAGTACAACTCAGTGTAGTGATTTTTGCCATGAGAGATTACGAGGTGCACCATGAGAAATTATTCCATTTTACTTAATTATTCAGAAAATGGAGTTTTATATTAAAACTTATTAGAGCTCAGACTTGCACAGAAAAGCTGCATCGGCGATTCATTTACTGTTTAACTACCAAACCCTAAATCAACTTGAAAGGGTTAATAATTTTTGTTGTTGTTGTGTTTGCCGAAAAACACGTCATAGTCCAATGAATGAAAACTTACATTTATTATAAGGGTAAAAGGTAAATGGTGTGCCTTTGATGTTGTCCAGTGCAGCTGCGTCAACTTACGGAAAGGTTCTTTTTTTTTAGTTTAAAATACTCCAACTTAATCTGCAGGATCTCTCATCATACAGTGGCCAAGGCTTAATTGAACCCAGGATGTTTTTTGTACCAACTTTAAATTCATCAGCTTGCGTCTTACCAGCTGCCAGCTAGCACTAAGCTAACCTGGGTATTTTGGGATTTCATATCCACTGCTAGGACACCGTGAAAGGCCAAGAGTGAGTAAACAAAGATACACTGCCTTGCTGGGGTTTATGCACTGACTGCTTAACAGATGTATTAAATACTCATTTGAATGTAGCAAAGTTTCACACTTGACGTGCACCCCCTTCATAAATACTGTAGCAACCCTTAAATGTAGTTCCTAAATTCTATGGTTTCCTGTAGTCTGGGGCGGCTGTGAATGTAACAAGAGAGGACGATGAAGGGCAGGGGGAGAGGGAATGGAGAAATGACACTGTAAGCGACACACTGGTTAGCGTTGTTGTTTTGGTGTGGTTACAGCCAACAGTCATTATTTTTGTTCTCATAAAAAGGTTTGTGTTCTAGCTCGCCGCTTGGCCCGATTCATTCCACCATGTTACATCACACAATGAGATGTGAGTGTTGCCATCGAAACATTCCTATGTGCCAATACATGCGACAGAATGAGCCGTTCTGATTTAGCATTTTGTTTTTAACAGCCAGTTTGCTTCCCCGTTCGAGTTACATATGATTTGTGCACAGCCCTACAAATGATGTATCCGTGTACAGTGACAGGCAGAACAATGAAATGCTCTTCAACTAAACAGATGAAGGTCCAATTAAGGTGTGTATCCAACTGTTGCCATTCATAAAGCAAAATAACCTCTTCATGTCTAACTAAACAGGCCCAGATTTCAAAATGAATAAAGTGATACAAAATCATCAATGTTTCAGTCTCGATATGTATATACTTTTTGTGACATTTTGTTTGGCACCGTCCTGTGAGATGTTTCTCATGTAAAATACCTTATGCGCTCTAACTCACTAAAGTTGTGGAAACATGGATTAGCATATTCAGGAGTCAGACTGCTTTCCAAGACATGGAAATAAGTGTATTACATCACAAAGATTTTGTATTAGATTATTGCTCAAAATGGATGCGGTCCAACCTGTTATGTTGTCAAATTTTCTGAAATTCATTTCGATGTGATCCCACTCCATGACCACACAGCTGTTCGAGTTGGGTGCAGCCATGGCAACATAGATGTCCTCCTTAAATGAGAAGATGTCCGCTGACATGGACTGAATCGGGATTGACTGGTGACGCACAAAGTCTGGAGAGGGATGGACACACAAAAAAGTGCAGATAATTGTTCATTTGCTTGTAACATGAAAGTGTATCAATCAATCGAGCGATCATTCCTTCATGAATTTTTATACTGTGAAACGCAACAATGTTTGATAAAACAGGCAATAAAATATAAAAAGATAACAAAAATCAAAGTAAGACTGAAGATATACAAGAAGGGTTAAATACATACTGGTACAGTATATTCATACAGTATAAATACTCTACTGCAATGAATAGTTATCTCAGCCGTGGTGTACACGGGATCGAATGATTAAATCCATCACTTTCAACAATCTGTAAACCGACACAGCTCAATGACGCGATCGATTCGCGGGCAATACTCATATACTTTTTGTTCTGCTACTTTCTTCCTTTCATAACTTTGCTGCTGTAAATTGGGAATTTCTCCATTGGGAGACGAATAAAGGTTTTCTTATTCTTATTGTCCCAATACCTAACATGGTGTCCCCCCCTACCTTACATTGGTTAATTATTTTGTTTGACTCTTATTCCACAAACGTAATATAAGTTATTATTGTTATAGTCTTGTTATTGTCTAGTGCTGCCACATGTAGTATACTGTTTTCTTGCTTTGAATTTGGGGGGGGATTTGGTTTCCCTTGAAAGTGTTATGGGATCATAATTTGTAGAATATTTATAGTTAAACTATGTCTATAGGTAGTTGGAAACATTTTTAAGAGTGACATCACTGACTTGGTGTTTTTCAGAATTTGCGGCAAGGCTCATTCCCTATTCCCCACAAATAGCCGGGGTTAAATGTCAATGTAAAGAGGAAAGATACTAGTATAGCAAGCGTGGACTCTTTGAGGTAGTGAACTGCGCAGGGTAAGGTCATCCTGAATTATTAATTAATTTTATTCATTTTTTTTTTTAATAAACAAGGCGTCTTTCACGCAGTTAAACACTCCACTGATTGCTTTGACTTTATTTTAGCTTACCTGTAGACATGCACTGGCCTGGTGGAATGGGAATGTCATTGAGACGCTTGCCCTTCATGTCACCGGGGCCAGCACAGAAGACGTCTGACACTGTGGCATTTGTGTTTTTCAGCCATGTCATCAGCCACTTGTTCTCACAGCCGCACTGGAAATCGTTACCTCGTAGATCTCTGACGTTGGATATAAGGGACAAACAAACAAATGCTGCAACACAACCGGGTCTTGATGTTTGCGTTTAACATTCATTGTGGATTCTGTAAGGCTGTTGAAAACAGCGCAGACTGACTCAGCTGAAGTCGAAGTGCAGTAAGACACACACACACACACACACACACACACACACACACACACACACACACTGAATACACAAAATGCTTACTCACAGTTCCAGCAGTGAACCCAAATCAAAAAACAGCTCTCTTGGCAGGAACCTCATCTTGTTATTGGCAAGGGATCTAAATGTGAGCCCCAAAGACAGAATAATATCAGCAACCACTGTTGTGCAGCTCATAGTTGGTTGTGATTTAGATGGTTGGGGTGGTTAATGATTTAGAATTGTCTATCTACAAATGTGGAGAAAATTGTCTTACAGATGAGTTAGATCTCGCAGACCACGGAAGGCCTTTTTAGTGATGGTTTCAATCTTATTCCCTTCGATGAACCTGTTAAGCAAACAGCACAGTAGGGATGCATAAATGGGTGGACTATATATAAAACGGACTTTTCTGAACAATTATATTTGTGCTCCTTTACATTACAGTACTTACAGATATTCCAAATGTGGAAGGCCAGAGAAAGCATCATCTTTAATTGTGGTCAAAGAGTTCGCATTTAGAAGTCTGCAAAATAGGAAAGTAAGTGTTTTACATTGTGTACCGACTAGAAACAAAATTTGGGACACTTGCATGAATTACTCTTGAAAAACTCAAATTTTCATAAATTCAGCCCCTGAAAAGATAATAATGATTTGTATTTTGTCAGAGTTAGAGAAAAAAAAATTCTCAGTAGTGTATTTGTTGTTTTTAGTATCATGAAACTACAATTCATTTCCTAGACCTCAAATTGTAATATTTTGGTTTCTTTTTTTTTAGCTCTCAGTATAATGCATGCTATACAACTACAATGACAATCTCAAAACAGAACATTTTTTACCTTGAAAAGAGCACATCTCTTGTATAGGCTCATTAGATTGCACAGGTATAGTCAGAAATTTGTAGTTAATGTGCTTATGTAACTTAATAATAATTTGTGATTAGTGTCGGTTAACAAATACACTTACAGTAGCCGCAGAGAAGGCATGAATGAAAACATCCCCTCTGGGATTTCCGCAATGGAGCCGTTTACGATGCTCCTGGTGGGAAATAAAAACAAAACTCACATTGGGACATTTAGTGCTCCAGCAGCCAAAGCCATGAGACTGGAACTCTTGAGGAATGAAGGTTACGTATGTGTCACTTGTATTCATTCTTATTTTTATGTGTCTCGAACCATGACATTCCGTTTTATATGTGCTGTATATTTATTCATAAAACACAGTTTATTGTTTGAGAGAGCGATGTTACTTACAGCGAGGTGATGTCACTCGGCACCGTACGGGGGACGGCCGCAGTACCAACACACATGATGGTTTCCTTCGTGCACGAACATCCTGAAGGACATTTAAAATTCTTTTTCCATTTGTTAGCGCTGCAAATACACAGCAGCGTAAACGAGAAGACCAGGAGCCGGTGCATGGTGGGCTTCACTTCGTCTCCCCTGTCGTTTTTTGTTGTAATATAAAGGGACAAAACGAGCGCGATTCGATCTACCAGCCGTAGTTTATCTGTCGGGGCGACATCTAGAATGCAGCCGTCTCGGACACTCCTGTCCTGACACCGACTGGCACGCGGCTGCGCCCTCCCAAGATCAACGTGGTGGATGCACCCAGCTCTCACGGATCGTTAAAAAATTGAGATTGGCTTAAACAAAACTACTTGGTATCCTTTTTTTATTTTTTAAATACAATTCATGCTACCATTGTACATTGAATAAAGGTGACTGTGAAAACATCTTTTGAGTACGCACAGAGAGTGGTGGGCCAACGTTTCGTACCTGAAGATGAAGTGTTAAAAACAAGAAAAAAAGTAAAAGGTAATATGTAATTCATGCACATTCTAAATCGTATTTTTCTTTATTACAATTAACCAAACAAATATATGTATATATGAAGAAATACAATTTTATCCTTATTAGCTCATCAATGTAAAATAACTCCTTCCAAAACTGATATCGATATTGTTCATGATCAAAAACGAAATTACATTGAACGCTCTTACAAGATCACAATTAGTGTTCATTTGATGTTACTGTATTTGCTGATCCGTGAGCTGTAGGGAATTAATGGGTGGGCCAGAGTCGCAGCCTGGCCCACCCAGAAATTGCCCAGTTGTACAGATTACCCACTCTGGGCCTGGTAATATAAATTAATGTGTTGATTTAAATTGCATTAATTCAAAACACATGCTCATCTTAAAAACAGAAAATTCTTATTTTAGTCAGGAAGGTGATAGATCCCAGCAGCTCCTAACAAGGTGCCAAATTTGCTGAAGGATAAAAAGTTGATGAAACTGAATCTTCATCTCCCAGCGAGAGCAACCGTATGTCTGCCATGACTGGAATAATTCATGACAGCTCTGCATCAATCATTGCTGTTTTTAGCTTCTACGTGCTGGCCTTTCTACAAGTTGGGCATGTGTAAGCCAAAGCTAAGACTCTTGCTATATTGCTATTTTGTTGTCAAATACCTTTCAATGATTCGTGGAAACCGACAGAGATTTCCAATGTGTTTTGCGTCAGAGGCAAACAACACCTGCTTCGTCAAATTATTTGTCTTTCACAGTCACGAAGAGATGACTGTTGCTTGCGACCCCTGACACCACAAATGTTGCATTTTGCTCGTGTCTCAAATGCCTGCGCACTTTATGAAAGTGACCCCTTTACCCCACTACCACGGAAGAGCAACACTGAATGCATTTACATGGACAGCAGTGACCGCTGACCTTATTCCGAATAAAAGATTATATTTTGATTACGGTGTGTCTGCATCAGTTGCTCATAGAATAATCCATTCAGGCCGTAATCCGGTTTGGATGTTACACCACTCCATCTGTGTTCATTTTTGTGGGTGTCTGGTCTTGAATGCTGACTGTAAAAAAGTATCTTAGCCAGTTTTTTCGCCTCTCATGGCATTTCAGAAAATGCAAATAGGTGAGTTTTTCCATCCATCTATCCATCCATTTTCTGATCCGCTTATCCTCATGAGGGTCGCGGGCGTGCTGGAGCCTATCTCAGCCCACATTCATTATAATATAACATACTACACCCAAAACGTACAGAATTATGAACCAGTGAGGTAAGAATATATTTCAACATTTAACACGCATAACTTGACTTTTAGTCTAAAAAAACACAATACATGAGAAGATAATCAAACTCTTAAACCAGTGGTCATAACAACACAAATAATTTATCTAATTACATGTTAAAGTGTCCTGGCATTTAGTATGACTCATCCCTAAGGGTTTGTCACCTTCTGGAAGACATGTGTCAACTCTTTGAGTAGATAGGCAGCTCTGTGACAAACACTTGTCAACTCTGCACATCTGCCATGCTCGTTCACACCGGGAGATTTGCTGCTTTGCTTTTCAGACCACTAGATTTACTCCAGGTAGTCGTTGCCAATCGATTCTGGGTGGGCCGTGACTCTGATTCGAATCAGCATCTAATGTTGGCAAAAACGTCTGCGACAATGACGGATGGGGCTCATGATTGAACACCTGCTGTTTTGATGTACAGTATCCTTTCTAAGAAACTGATCTGCACGCGTCTTCATTTTAAATAGCTACCACTGTGGATGTTATCTGCGGACGTTGTTTCAACCTGTACTTGCTCACATATGGGCATGCATGGAGGAACCTTTAATAGCTCACATACTGCTTGCCTTCTGCTTCCACCTCGTTTACAGCCAGACTACTAGACAGTGGTGATTGCTACAATTTCTTGCTTTTGAATTCAGCTTTCTGTTTATGTGGTGGTAGACTCTTGTGTTTTTCAGTTTCACTGTCTACGGAAATGGAGCCTTAAGTCTTTCAATGTCTCCATCGCCTCATGCTTGCTCATACGTAGTGCAGTTGGTCTTATAATGAGCGAGAAGGATGGTTCTTGACCTTTGAGATACCTTATTTTGTAAATTAGTGCAATATACAGTAAATGGAATTGAATGGAAATAAATTATATGAAAGCAATTCATTACAGCTATTTACCCTGCAATGCATGCAAACAGTCCTTCGGTCAAGCTTTTAGGTATTTTCATGCAATTCAGAAAGGCCTTTTTACATTTAAAGTTAATGTTTTAGACATTATTTAACATGTGAAACATGACATAACAATAAAGGCAACCTCCAAATGATTAAATGCACTTTTAAATCATTTAAAAGCAAACATGTTCATACATTGTGAGAAATGTGCATGTCGTTACACCACATTAGTGACGCAGGATAAGAGTGGGATTTGCAACTGACAAAGGCTTCATAATAGTGACCTCTGGCCTCGATAATGTGCCCATGACACAGAGCAACTGGTGGCTCTGCCTCGCCTTGCCGCATACCAGCAGTCAGGGTTTTGCATGACTCCAGAGGCCACTTGTGTCTTCAATCAATTTCTCTAACTACAGAATAGTGATGCAAGTTAGAGTGAGCAGTACTGAAGAACATGCATCCCATCATCTTGGTTAAGGGCATGAGGTCTACATACCTCCAGCAAGTCCATACAAATCTTGTAACCATATAGGCAAGGCAAGGCAAGGCAGGTGTATTTATATAGTGCATTTCATATACAAGGTAACTCAGTGCAAAAGTACAACATTTAAAAGCATTTACAAACAAAATAATTAAAGACATTTAAAAGCAAAGTACTGTCAAGAAATAAAAAGTATCTTACTAAAATTACTGAAAGAATATGCAATGGAAGAACAACATTTAAAAACAACTGATTATAAAAATGCTTCAAACAACCTTAGGCATAGTTTTGCTGGGATAAAAACATTGCTTTAAATCTGGTTTCAAAAGTTTTTACACTGGCTGACTTCACTTCTGTTGTCAGCTTCTTTCATTTTTGTGCACCGTAACAGCTAAATGCTGCTTCACCATGTCTGCTTTGAACTTTGGGCTCCACTAATCGACCTAAATCTGCAGGTTCACGAGGTGAGCAGGTTTGTCATCATGGTGAAGCAGCCTCCAGTCGTACTGCCACAACTCTAGGCTCTTCTCGCACCCTGAATGTAGCAAAAGCCTCAGGATCTCTGTAGCTATGCTGGTTGATTTGTCTGGCCCACACACCAGGCTGTAGTTTTTCTTAAACATCACATAAAATTGACAGTAAAAATTAATGTGTACTGTTTTTCCTTTCACAGCCATTTGTAGGTCTACTTCACCTCCTTGTCACCTTTGCATATCGTTGCTTTAAAAGTGTCTAAATTATGAAAGGTATTATTGAGGAGCTATTCATCTCCCAAGGGTCCTGAATGTACAGTTTCGAAGGTCACATGCAACGAGCATCATAAAAAAAGACAGCAACAACAATAAAAAATACTTTTGGCGGAAAAGTCAAGAGAAGCTGTGAAATGACGGTGGTCCTCCCCCGCAAGGGTCCCACCCTCTCTCCGCCACCATCCCCTCCCCTCCCCACCGTCTCCCCCTCACCAGTAGCTCTCAGTGCCCACGTCCTGGCAGCCGGCAGAGTTTTCCGTCCTGTGTCGGGTCAACATCGCAGACCTCATGGAAGCAGCGGAGGAAACTCTCACTTACAGAGATGACCCCGGACCTCACAGGACGCTGCTCCCAGGAGGCAAGGCTAAGGACACCGGGGGACATTTTGAGACAAAAAGTGAGTCCAACTACGTGGATTTAGACATGAGACCGGAAGGGGCCAAGACGGTGAAAGTAACGTTCACCGGCGAGGGGAGCCAGCTGTCTGTCAAAAGTGACGGTTCGAAGCACGGGTTGCGTGGACCGGCTTCTGTGGACTCCGTGGACATGGGTGGCGGCGATGACCCGAGTGGATCCACTTTGAAAACAGCCGAACTTTCCTACGAGGAGGATTCAGGGGATGAGACGCGGCTGCAGGAGGAAGCGGACCCGAGCGACTGCAGCGAGGGGGACGAGCTCCAGTACACGGACATGTACCTGAACAGCCGCAGCGAGTCGGACGACGGCGCTAGCGCGATTCTGTCCGACCACAGCGGCGCGGACACGCTAAAGGACGAGTCTCACTATATCACTACGCATGAAATTCAGCTGACCGAACTCGACCACGACGTTGATTACGACCTCGGCCGCGGTGCCAGTTGGGACTTTGAGGACGACAATTTGGTTTACTCCTTCGTGGATTACGCCTCGTTTGAAAGTGACGACAGCCGAACCGGGACTCTGGTATTGGAGGGCAGGGGTCATGTTGCCAAACTCGGTGTGAGCACAGAGCAGGACGACAGCGATCTTGGCGACTCGGAGAAATGCGCTAGCTCGGATGAAAGTGTGTGCAAAAACCGCATCGTCGGGGACAAAATACACGTATCCGTTAAAACCTCCAGAGAGGAGCCGGTCGGCATTACGGACGAGGGCGCCAAGCGCTTTGGAGACGGGAGCCACTTCTCTTTCGTGAGAGCTGGACCTTTGGGAGATAACAGGGCCAAGTATTTCATCCCCGCTCCCGGCCGTCAGCACCTTGCAACCAAACTAAGACGGAAGGACATTAATGAATATTCCAGTGGCGCCTCCAGCTCCATCAGCGAGCTGGATGACGCTGATAAAGAGGTGCGTAATTTAACCGCCAGGTCATTTCGAAGCTTGGCGTGTCCTTACTTTGATACGATTAATTTAAGCACGTCAAGCGAGTCGTCCATGTCGGAATACGATCTAAACAAGTGGTCCGCTTACATGGACTGGAATTACGGACACATCCCGCGGGGGGCAGAGCACAGCGTAATTGCGCACAAGACCTCCAGCGCCACATTGGAAATGAATGAGACGGTGGAGAGTAAAAGAGCCCCACAGCCTAATAAGAGACTAACTTTTCATGAGGAAGCGTCTTTCTGCAAAGGTGCGGGGATAAAAGAACAGCGAGGGGTCACGTTGAATGTCCAGTGCAACTCAGACGCACAAGCAGTTACCAGGCGACCCAAAAATACAAAGAGCTGGTCCGGGGAGGTTCGTGGAGCACTGTTAGCCAGGTCAGGCTGTGAAATGCAGTATCACCACGCAGACAGCACAGACAAGACACATAAGAGGGCCATCTTTGCATCAAGCTTGCTTCAAAATGTCATCTCCAAAAAGATGCAATTCGAGCAGGAGCGTAAGATGGAGAGAGGTGAGATCTCGGACGCATACCCCGTGCACTCCCCTTGTTTTCTGGATGGGGGGAAGGACAGGAGGGGCTTTCATCGGCAAAGCTCTGAATCAGGCTCCGGTTACACTAATTCTGGAGATGACCAGCCTTTGGAGGGCAGCAGACCTAGCTCTTGTGAGCCTGCGGAACAGCAGAAAAGCACAGATATCGCAGCGGATTCAGGGAAAAAGGAGCCTAAAATGGGACTCACTCAAAGTCGAGGCAGCGCGTTTGATTCCTGGAAGGACGACGAAGCCGTGAAGGAGGCTGAGCTCTCCTCAGCCGCGAAGGAAGAGAAGGAGGAATCGGACAGGAGCAACATGCTCACAAAGCTCCTTTTCATGCCGAGCTGCCAGCGTTTCTCCAAAGAGAAGGAACGCTCAGAATGTGAGGCGGTGCTCGAGACAGCAAACACGGCCACTGAAGAAGAAAAGGACAAAGGCGGAAAAACACCTGAGATCAAAATATGTCTGAGAAGTGTGAGGGAAAATAAGGGAGGGGGCCTGAATATTGCCAGTCTGTTAACCCCTAAAATTAGTTCTGTCAAGACATTTCGGGGAGGAGGTGATGCCAAATGTCATATTTTGTCTGCTTCGGATAAGATTCCAAATTTTACAGTTCGAGACGTCAGAGACACTAAGGGCAAGTTCCAAATGCCGATTTACCGTGTCCGAGATGTGCGTAAATTGGTGAAAAGTTCATATCGCTTTTTTTCTTTGGATAATAGTGACAGCAAAGGTGCGGTTGAACCTGCCGAAAAACTTGAAGAGAAGGCCCAAAAGGAGCCAGTAAAACAAGTGTCGCCTTCTCCTATTGTCATTAAATGCCACTCAGTAAAAACAAATAAGTCCCCAAAAGAAACAGAAGCAGATGCGCTGACACAGAGTGCCACCAGCAAAGTGCCATTTGCTGGAACAAAGCAACCAAATCAGTTGGAAGCTGAAAAACTATTGAAACAAAGGCAGGAGAAGTTTGCAGGAGAGGCGGCTGACAAACGTTTCGAGCCTCGAATTCCCAAACAAGCCGCATTGGAGAAACTCAAAGCTGCTGTCAAAACAATGGAGCAGCTTTACGTTTTTGACCGAAACGAATGGAAACGCAAAGCTCAGCCTCAGCAGCCAATCACGGGCAGCCACGTGCTGTCGCTCATCACCCGTGAGGAGCGAGGAGCGGAAGAAGAAACAATGGCAGCGCCTGAAGATGGCGCGGTGAACGTCATACATGTTCCTCGCTGTGACGAATCCGCCCAGCGCAAAACCTTCAGCAACAAAAGCGTCCTTCACCTCGGCAAGAGCAATAAGGCGCACGTCAGCATGAGTTCGGTTGCGAGCCCTGCGCTACAAAGCACGGCTTTACAGTCGATGAAAAGCTCCAATGCGCCAGCCGCACCTTTCTCTGTGAAAATAGAACCCGCGAGACAAGGGCAGGTGGAACAGAGAAAGGTCCAAATCAGTCCCACTAATCCCAGCGTCACACAAAGCGACTCGGAGAACTATTTGACCATGCCGGGTCTGGCGTACACCAATGAGATCAAAGTGGCCAACAAGGAAACAGCTTACACAGAGATGAAGCCGAGCATCAGCCAACAAGTTGACGTCAAGACACCCGAGCAGAAAAGATTATTAATGGCTGAGCACCCAGCTTCGTCTGTCTACCACCAGCCTGCCGCAGGCCCGCAGACACAGCAAGTGTTATGTTTCTCATCCCCTTTTGCCACTCTGTCACCTCCACCTTCGAGTGGAGAGGCGGGCCTTCAAACGCAGCGCAAAATGCTCCTCGACCCCACCACGGGACATTATTACCTAGTGGACACGCCCATCCAGACCAGCACCAAGCGACTGTTTGACCCAGAGACAGGCCAGTACGTGGACGTGCCACATTCACCCGTGCCGCCCATTGCTCCCGTCACCCCCGTGCCCCTTTCATTGCCGCCCCTGGCCCTGAACCCGGGAGCATTCGCGCCCACCTACATGATTTACCCGGGATTCATCCCCTCGCCCACTCTGCAAGCTCAGGCCTTGCTGCCGCCTTTGCCGGGTCACACTGAAGACAGAGAAAAGTTGAAACACACCGCAAGCACAAAGCAGGAAGAGGAAGTGAACGCTCCGTCGGCAGAGAGCCCCTACTACAGTGCCACGGCCGAGGCCCCGCCGGGACAGGTGAAGCCCTCGGTCAGTTCGGACAGGAAGCCCATTATCAGCATCACAACGCAACAAGGTCCAAGAATCATCGCCCCGCCTTCCTTCGACGGAACAACGATGAGCTTTGTGGTGGAGCACAGATGACCAAGAAGACACTTCATTACACATGTAAGTTGGCACATCCCCCAAACAGTCACATTCAATGAATGACCATCATTTTTTCTGCAAAATGGCAGGGCCTTAAAAAAATCCTCAATATTATTTTCAAAAAACTCGACAGCGTTAATTTGACGATATTCTACAAAATTAAAATAGAATCTGCACTTGCTTCGCAGTACAATGATTCATAGACAGCGTTTGTGAACAACAGCTCTTGTTTATATGTAAAATTGCCTCGGCAAAACATTGTACAATGATATTCTAAGGCAGGGGTCACCCACGTGGTGCCCGGGGGCACCAGGTAGCTCCCAAGGACCACAAGAGCAGCCCGATGGCATGTTCTAAGAATAGCGCACACGTGATGGGGCATTGTGATTTTCTAGGAATGTTGTATAAATGACCTTTTGAAAACATAAAGAACAGAATCTAGGTGTTACATTTCGCCGTATTGTGAGAAATCATCACCAAGATCAGTGTCTTCACATAAATGGGTATGATTAATTACAAACAGTAAGTATAGAGCAATCGCTACTGAATGTTTTTAGAATGAATGATCAGTTTTTCCATTGATTAGTCGTGCAATCGTTCCCATCCCCAGCTTAGTTTAGAGGCAGAAATCTTGTTTTTGTGGTTGAGTTCACCAACATTAAAATACAATAGCGTCGTAGTGTCGATCGACATGTTCATGAAAATAATATTATTGCGAGTCACTCTAACATTACGCGTGGTGAGATTGAGTACCACTAGTGGTACTAGAAACGCACTTTGAGAATCGCTGGCTTGTAACATGGGCAACATGGTGGGTGGTTTGGGACTTAACATGTCTGCCTCACAGTTCCTGTATGGAATCTGTTTGTTTTACCTGTGCTTGCGCGTTTTTTTTTTTTTTTTTTTCTAGGTACTCATCCTTCTTCCCACATTCCAAAAAAACAGGTTCATTGAAGACTCTAAATTGTCCATGGGTGGGAATGTGAGTCACATCTCAACATCTTGAGATGATGTGTTTATTGAACAGGTTGTTCAATAAACAATCAAACAACATCTCACCCAAAGTCATCTGGGATGGACATCTGGGCTCACTCATGACAATAATGAGGACAAGGCCTGTAGAAAAAAGATGGTAGGATGGTTTTGTCCACAAGACTTTCAGATTTATTGTCACTTTCTGTGTTTCAAACCGTTTTCTTATGATTTGTTAAAGGATCATTTGCTCCCTTCAAGGGATTGATGGTAATGATTATTATTACAGCTGTAGGGGAAGAGTGATTGACGAGAATACACAAGAGACCGTCAACAGCTGATGTCATCTTATCAATTGTTTGTTGTCCAGACAGAAGGATGAAGGTGGCGCTTGATTTAGATGTGCTGACAGCAGCATCTAGCTTGGATGTTGTTGGTACATATACAGTATCATAAATAACCGAGAGGCCCAGTGAGTTACAAAATGGTCGTCTCCTATCATACATATCTGTCAGGTATCATCGAAGAGGTTGAAATTTGCTGAAAATGTCCAACGTCTGTGCTGTGAATACATGACCCTTTTACTGCGTATGAAGTTGCGCTTATATTTGTTCCTTTTCATCACAGGTGGAATGGAGCAAAATAAAGCGTTATTAATAATTAATGACTGACATCAGTGATTTGTTTACATTTTTTTCAACACGAGGTTAAGCAGTTTGAGGATGCGCTGGTGTTTGGGGGTCTTCCCGTACCACATGCATACTGAGTTTTCAGCTCAGCTGCGGCATGTCAGCGTTAATATACGCGCAGTTGCTTCTTGACAGGTAATGTGAGCCCTCGGAACTGTTGCTGGGCTTGATGGGATCTTCCCGATTTTCCGCATGAGTATTTCAATAATGAGAGGTGACTTTGTTGACATGCTTCATGTTGAGGGTTAGAAAAAAAAAAATGCAGGGAAGTGGAGCTGTTCAGTTGCTGGCTCAAATCAATGACTTGAATTTTTGGACTGAATCAGAAATGACTGATCCAAGGTCTCTGTTAAGTCAGATCTATCAGTCATATGGCTTGCTGCCGCTAGTTACACAAAGCAACAAACTATATTTATTGGGGTCTTTTTGGAATTGCTGTGTTTGCTATTTATCCTGCCCCCGAGCTCACCAATTGTTCAAGCATGTGTATTGTTGTGAAAATATAGATAAAGGTCTGAACCCCCCCAGAACATTAGGAAAAAAAATAAATCGACACCCATTTCAGTGATTTCACGATATACATGAACTGGGTGGACATGTCTCTCATAACCAGATCCATGAACAAGTCTCAAATGCATCCAAATCATGCTCGGTATTCAACTGCAAGTCAGGTTTGGAACAGTCACTGTGGATGAATTCCAGGGCTCGTACTTTGATGAACTCCTGCAAGGGAATTCACCCAAATGAGTTCCAAACAGAAGCAGCTTCACCGTGCAGGTATAATGGACAGATGGATGAGGCTAAATATGTGAGTCATCTAACGTAGGCAACGCATGCCATCAAAGTTCAACGCTCGTTTCAAAAATTCACCATGAAAATGGATAAATCATTTCTGGCAGCTTTAATATTCTTATTATAATTGTTGGGCATCAGAATTTATTTGTTGTTCTTCTAGTTTTGTGCTGTAAAAAGTTTTGTGAAAATAGTTTTTTGTAATTTTGAAGTAATCACACTCAATGCATCCGACTATTTACTGGTTGAGAGTGGCAACGTGAATACTGTCAAAAAGTTTCAATATAAAAACCACAGCCGATACTGTATACAGTCCATAAGTAGGATCATTAAAAAAAAAAAAAAGAACGGTTGACTCACTCACACTTGCCATCCGTTCCAGTCTATTGTCAACCAAGGTGTCAGAATAAGAATACGACTGCGTGAGCTTGTGAGATTCTTGTCAGTTGTGTGGCAGCCAGGGGCTCAGTGTGGGCTTTAGCAGTGGTGTGAAGTGGAACGGTGTGTGTTTAGCTGATGGCGTGTGTGTCAGTGAGTGAATGTGTGTGTAGAGGGAGTGGGGGGTGGGGGTGGGGGGCATGGCTGGGATAGTGAAGCAGGACGAAAAGGTCAGGTCAACGTAAAATATTTGTTGTGCTGATGCAGGGAGAGGACAGCTGCTGGGAGAGATCAGATGCTGCTGCTTGCTACTTGCGCCGTTGTGGAAGCGAGTCCGCCGGGCTGGGACGGGGTCAACTTTTTATAGCCCCCTCCCCCTCTGCCCAGTCCAAAACGGGTGGATGGAGGTGGAGAGCAGTGTCCTCCCTTTACTCTTACATAAACCACCTCAGCTGTGTTTTGAATCCCTGGAGCGGATTGATGTGTACTGTACACTCGAATATGACACTTGGGCCACATCGGAAGCAAATGCGTGGAGATACTTCCAGTGTCAAGGTTTTGAAAATACCAGGAAATTTGGTGTCATTTGTAAACATAACAATCATTGATAATACTTGGAGGTGATTTCTGAAGTGTGGATCCCAGTGGATGTGAAATTCAGAATTTCAGGGCTTCACTGCAGCAATTTTCACTTGCTGCTTGTTTGTGGGTCTTACTGCCTTCATTTTTGTCTGCAGTACGTGAAAAGCATACTCTACCGGCTTCGGAAAACTAAAATGGATGTAATTTGTGAATAAGAAAAATGGATACGACATTTGACAAAAAGCAAGAATATCTTAGAGATGGGAGGCATGTCAAAATTAAAATTGACAGTTGAGACATGCCATGAAAAGTTAACTGGTAACATTCGAGAACAAGGAAGCCAAATAAAACGAATGGAAAAAACATTGGAAAAAGGTTCTCCAGTGAAGGTCGGGGATGAGTAAACGTTTGTGTTCACAGGCCAATGAGGCAGATCATTTGTAGCTGAGAAAACTATGTGAATGTAAAATCTGTCAAATATTTTTATTCTAAAGATAAAACATGTATTGTTAATATTTAAACGTTAATTATAATTAATTTTTTTATTGTGTCTCAATAAATCAGTGGACCAATTATTTAACATAAATGAATTTAAAATATTTAAATGTATCAATTGTAAGGGGGGGGTGGGGGGAAGCACCACTAAATTAATGCCAAAAAATCCTGGATAACTTTTGATAATGGAAACGATTTGTGGGCCAGATTCAAGAATGGAAATTGCCGTATATGACCATACTTTGCCCACCCAACATTAGACTTGACACAAAGCAATTTAAGTCAAACTGACGCCAAAGAAATGTAATTTTGCTCAGGCCATTCACCCGATCTTAACTCAATAGAGTATGATCTTCGCTTCCCGAAAGGCAACAAGAATGGCAACCAAGTAACAATTGAAGAAGGCTACGCAGAAGGCCTGGCAGAGCATCTCCACAGAGTAAAAGTAAACGATGAATCAGGTTTTAAAAATGACAACTGGATAAGGGCGAAAAGTCTCCACTTCAACTCAACTCAATGTACGACCGTTGTATACTCCTGAAGATCTTTGTTAATAAACACAATTTCTTATTTTTCATTTACAGACATCTCCATGGAGAAATCTGCCTTCATCCAACCCCAGCCAGCATTCTGTTCTTCATGACATCCTCTACCCAAAGTCAATACAAGTTTAGCCTCTTTGCATGGCAGCACTTTGCGAGGTAAAAACACAATGTACGTTGCTTTATCAGCCTAGGAAAAAAAAGTCACTTGGTCAACAGAAATAAAGAATGAGTAAGTCATACACGGTATCAAGGACAGGGACCATTTATTTGGAGTGAAGTCGGCTAAATGTGGATTTAGGTTATTATTCTTCTTCTTTTTTTTTTTTTGCATTGTGTTACAAGATTGTGGTGTTGTTGAACACCAGCAGGTCACATTGGCAATAGATAATTGTTTACAAGTTTTAAGCCCATGTTCTACTTGAAGTACATGCATCCTCTGCATCACAACTGCCGAGGTATTGTTTACACCCGCACGGCGGTAGCACTGAATGAATTGTATGGAACGGGTTGAGCTGTGTTTTCAAAGAAAAGAAAGCTTGCACCTTAAATGACGCATTGAGAACAAAGCACACTAAATGGGTCAAAGTGCCCAAGCGGAGCCGGGACTCCTGTTTGAGTTTTTGGGCAGAACTGACACTACTTGTGTTTATTTTATTTTTACACTTTTAAGTGTAATGAGGTTGGAGTTTGTGTGTCTGCTGCATGCATGTGTGTGTGTGTGTGTGTGTGTGTGTGTGTGTGTGTGTGTGTGTGTGTGTGTGTGTGTGTGTGTGTGTGTGTGTGCGCGTGCGTGCGCGCAGATGTGCTACACGTGCAGGGTGTATCATCATTCGGCAAGTACTGTATACAATGAGGAGTCATGTTACTTCACTGTTGAACAGGAGCGTGCTGATGTCACGTGCTCGCGTTCTCACAAGAATTTGGTCGTAAATTGTAGGAAGTAAAATATGACATCATTTCTTTGATTAACCATCAATTGTGTGTCAGTGAGCTGGGACCTATCTCAGCTGGCTTTATGGAAAAAGCCAGATGTTCCCCAGAATTGTTGCCAGCCAATCAAAGGGCACATACACAAGTGGGCAAAATTGTTGATACCATGAAAAAAAAAAAAAACGTATTTATCAGAATATATTTAATGGAAGAATTCATTCAGAGACATTTTTCTCTCATAAAACATTTTGACTATGCAATGAGCTATTACGGATTATAACCCCCTGATCGCTTGTAGGAATCATCCAGACTGTTGTTTTAGCAGGTTTCCAACCCATTGTATTAAAGGTAATTGGATCTGCTGGTCAGTCTTTTTGCCATCATTGTGAAAGATCCACGACTAGATTTAAATTACCCTTCATAAGAGTTTGTATGAGTGTGTTTAATAATTTGGAAGGATGTTTGACAAGAGTAGAGAATGGCAAGTTTGCGCTTTCACCGCAACTTGACCGGATGCATTTGGAAGTGCAACGTCGCACAAAACGTGTATATGTGAATCGCAATCCATCTGTCTTCTTAATCGTGGACTCTGTAATTCGGGACTAGTGCAAATAAATCGTCTTGATCATTATATCGCATTTCGATAAAACTTTTTAAAGGTATATGTGGGTGAAAATGTTTGCAAACGTTTTGCTCTGTATGCTTTCATGCCGAGTTGTGCAAATGAAGCTCAAATGTTTCTTATTTGATTATTTATTGTTAAACATTGAGACCCTGAAAAGAATGATTCTCCATTGAACCTGTTGTATTTATGCTATGAACATAAAGGCCATCATACTTACATGTAAATGTGCATTTTTGCCCGTTGTATCAATTGTATTAATGAATGTTCATGTACTTCATGCACTTGGATTGTCTCTGTTCAACATTGACCGTGATCAATGACTGTGTACATAGATATTGCAGGCACATTTTTTTTGGGGGGGGTGGGATTATTTTCCCCTAAAATGTCAAAGTGACATGAATAAAATATTCTTAAAGGTTAAACAAAGCACTTGGCTATAAGGATGAATATGAAGTTCATTATTTAAGTATACTTGTTTGCGAACAAAGGATGTTGGAAGTCTTGATGGTTTGAAATTAAGTGCAAATGGGATCCGCTGTATTGTAATGACATCATCATACGATGGTGTTGTTTCATTGCATCGTGTGAGCTGTGTGGCATGTGCAGGAAAAAAAAAAAAGACAAAGGTCGGAATGACAGCAGAAAGACATTTTGAAAGGAGAAGTAAGTGCTGTGCACCCATGCTTGACTTTGAATATAAATGAGTGTCATGTAGACTGACAAGCCTACATACCTCCGGAATAAATTCAAAATGCAAGCTTCTTGAAGGTGTTTGCGTTATTTGAATGGGTTTTGGCTCTAACGTACTGCATAAATTCACTTTTAACCTTTGCTCACAGAAAAGATGAGCGATTAAATTCTTTTTGTTGCACTAAAACACAGAAAATGTATCAGAATATATTGTGCGATTTAAATGATGCCGGTTTCAACGAGTGCAAACAAGTACGTAGTGGTTTCAAGAAATAGCTGCACAAAATAAATACAAGAGCATCATAAATTCATAAATAAATACGCATACATATTTGAACACTTGTTGAATATTAAATACATTTTGCCAGTATTCCAGATTCAAATCACAAGGGAAAACAAATAAATAATGAGGGAATATCTTACATTATTCATTTGCTATTATGATTTTTAATAATAGCTATATCAGAATAAAAATGCATGTCCTTGTTTCATTATCTGCGTTTATATGACTGAATGTTTGAAAGGATTAAAAATAATAATAACAATAATAATAATGAATTCATCCAGATTTAAGAGAGCGGAACAAGAGCACATGTGCTGGCTTGCCAGCATGCAAATTTAGCTTTGCGGTGACACTGAAACATCACCCGGCTGAAGCTTAAGTTTAACCTGAGCGTTTGCGGCTGTGTTTACTTGGTCCCCATGGCCGCAACCAGACTGGCAGACACTGCTTTGCCCCCAGCTGCTCTCTGTGCTTTTCAAAGAATCTGCAACAAGGCCCAGTTGTTGGTTTCGGATGCCAACTGGAGCTCTGATGTCAGGCCCTGTTAGAATACCCCCCAAAAATAAATATATAATACATTTGTGGGAAAAAAAGGTTTTGTGGGCCTATCACGTCTGGATATGCAAACATCATGCCGGTATACTCGGTAATAAGTTACTGAGTGTGCTGGTGAATATATTTTTTTTTCCAGACCTAAATATACAGTATGTCAACAGACTTGGAGTTGCCAGTGTATGTTTATTTCCATCCAATTATATTTAAAACAAAGAGATCTCCAAAAAAGCCAGTACGGTCATAACAATTCATTAAAGCTTTCCATTGAAATTATACAAAAAACTATTTTAAAATGTAGATTTAAAACTCTTTATTATTATTTTTTTTACCCCAGATCTTGTAAGTACAGTGTAAAAAAACCATTATGGTGAATGTCATATTACTACTATGGTACATTCTGGATCATTATTTAAATGTGAAGGGTGACACAAGTTGCTTCAAGTAAACACATTTAATAAAATAAGATTTTCGGGTGAGATTGATATAAAAATTACATTTCCAATCCCTTTTTTTTACTCTACTGTTATGTGCCCAACATAAATATATTTTCAAATAAAGCCATAACAAGACAACAACAAGAGGTCCCAGTTGCAACCAAAAACGTCAAATTACTTCAATATTCACAGGAATGTAAACATTGCATATGTTGTTTAAAAAAACAGACCAAAAAAAAAACAACAACAACAACAACAACAGCACATTCACCACATTGGTCTCTTTGGGCGTTTCACGGCATGATGCTAAGGTGTGATGTGCCATATACTAGAAATGCACCAAAACCTCACAGAGGAGAAATATAAAATGCCCCAAACATGGAAGTTTCCTCCTGGGGAGTTAGTGGTGTCACCTCTACCAGCTGGAGTCAAAAACCTTCTTGCACATGTTTGAGTTTTCCTGGTGGAGCGGGAACTCAGAGCCAGGGACGAGCAACTTCTTGCTCTTTTGTGTCACCACGCTTTTTCCTGTTGACAGGCTCTCGTGTTTCTTTAGGTAATTGCTGACAAGTAGGGAAAAGGAATGGGGATGTTAGATTTCATTTCAGAGGCAAGGGAGTTCATTCGATGAGGGATTCTCTCATACCTAATGGGAAAGGTGGCTTTGTCCATTTGCATGCACACCAGGAAAGGATACTCCGAGAACTGGACAGTGGTGATGAAGTCGAGGGAGGCTTCCGTTTCAAAGCTGACCTCCAAACCGGCACTCATGAAGTCCATGTCGACTGTAACATTACCGGAAATCACTAACGCTCCCCTGCAAAGCGCCACAGAGGAAGGCTTGGTGAAAATGATGCTCTTCTTCTCCATTCACTTGCTGCATCATCTGCATTACTAACATTGATGCTTATGACTGCGTGGGGCCCAAAGAAAACATAACTCAAAATGATTCCAGCAATTATTGATGGAAAAAGTATTCCGATTAATATCGCATTTGCATTCGTGGAATATGAATCAAGCAGAAAAGGCGACCTGATTTTAATTGCCATTTTGCTGGCGAATGAAAAAGACATCACAGTGCCAAAGGGCTCACCTTGCGAACATCACACGACCAAACCTAGAAAACAGGTGATCTGTAACAATCGTTAACTCAGCCCTTTGATGCCGAGATGTCATTTTCAGTTTATAGCGAGAACAAGTACAAGGCAAAATGGCCGTCCCGTGAGATGGATGAAAACAGATTTCTTTTTCTGCTTAGTTCATAATTCACAAATGCAATAGGAATTAGAAGACCGTGTTTAAACGAGAAGGCGAGCACATTTGTGGTTTGCCCATCCCTTATTTTGTCTTCAGTTCATCTAAGGTGCAAATTGTTTGGAAGGCTGGGACTGTTCAAATTCATTTATTCATTTCCCGAACCGCTTTATCCTCACTAGGGTCGCGGGGGGTGCTGGAGTCGATCCCAGCTGTCTTCGGGCAGTAGGCGGGGCACACCCTGAATCGGTCGCCAGCCAATCGCAGGGCACACAGAAACGAACAACCGTTTGCACTCACACTCACACCTAGGGACAATTTGGAGTGTTCAATCAGCCTGCCACGCATGTTTTTGGAATGTGGGAGGAAACCGGAGGACCCGGAGAAAACCCACGCAGGCACAGGGGAGAACATGCAAACTCCACACAGGAAAGTACCTCTGCACTGTGAAGTGGACGTGCTAACCACTCAA